TTATTTTTATTTTTTTAAATCAATGTAGACAATAAATAAAAAATACAAAAGGTAAATAGCCAATTACAAATTTTATTTTATCAAAAATTAATTTTTTTTAATATATTACATTATATATGTGAACATTAATATATATATATATATATATCATAATTAAACTTTTAAAAAAATTGATTCATTATTAAAGAGTATTCTTTATCGCATATAAGAATTAATTTCCTTCGCAAATTTGAAAAATATCAACTAAATGAACAAATCATTTAAATTTATATTTTATACATACGATAATTTAAATACATATATCTATATATTTTATTAGAATATAAATTTTACTTTTTAAAATATATTATCTTTTTAGATAAAAAATATATATGTATAAAGTGGTAATGGGGCAAGTGCCCCCACCACCGGCTCCAATACAAATCCGTCCCTATGTGGCATTGAAAAACAACTAATGTAATTAAATAAACAAACATACTTACAACCACTACCAAGTTTTCCTCTTTGTCTACTTGTTCGAGCTTTGATGGCTGGAAATCGTTCTCATCCTTATTCTTCATGTCCTTTTGAATGATTGGAAGTGTAGTATATAAATAAAATTACATTAAAGTATAATGTAAATATATTATTTTCGATCCTTTTAAACAAACAAATTATAATGTAAATACATTATTTATGATAATTTTATAAGATTTTTGTATCCATATAAAATATTTTTAAAATTAATTTTTTTAGAATAATTTATTATAAATTTGTTTGAAATAAAGACTCAATTTAAACTCGCACGTACTAAATATTTAACCATTTAACCTCAATACCTTCAAAATGATCGTGTATATTCCTAGCTATTTCCCTTTTGTTAGACCATATAAATGGTCATTTAAATTATATTATGTACTCATAAAAAAAAAATATATTACGATCAACTTTCATGACATATTCTTATTACACTTTTTTGCACTCACTTTTCTCTCTTACTTTCTTTTAATTTGTCATATTAACAGTCTTATTTTGTATTTTTCTTTTCTTTTTTTTTCTTTTAACTCTCTTTATTATTTTTTTTTACAATTATAATACAAAAGCCAATAATTCACATATAATTACTGGTAATAGAAGGGTATGCAATAAAATACAAGAACATTGGACTTGAATTTTACAAGATTCAACGCTTCACACCGACATCGTGTTGCTTACGCTCTAGTACCAAATTAAAGTTAAGAAAATTATAGAAAGCACTTAAAAGGTTCCAAGCAATTATTGATTGAATTATGTCAAGCTGGCATCTTGACATGGCTCGTGTAATTTACATTGCACATAAATGCATATAAGAGAGATAACTCACTTTCATATTTATTTTATTTTTTTTTTATTTTTTGAGGACAACTCACTTTCATCTTGAGAAACTAATGTTTAGTGTTTATTTGATAGATAAATTAATATGTTTGTACGTTGTACATCTTTTTTTTTTTTTTTTTTCCGCAAATATGTTTCTGAAATACCCTAGAAAACAACACTCTTATATATGATCCTTCTATTCTCCCTTGTATATATAAACAAATAACCTATTTCATTCTGTGTGGCACACACATGCAGATTACTTTTATTTTAAGCTTCGAAAATATATATATATATATATATATATATTAATGTTCTTATATATGGAAAAGAATGAGAAAAAATAACAAATTAAATGTGATAAGAAAAGTCAGAAATTTAAAAAGAAAATAGAAAAATGAAGTAATTAAAAACTAAAAAGGAAATGGATATAAAATAAGTATGCCGTAAGGATAAATACTCAGAAAATTAAGGCCAAGTCTTCGTTTGTCTGTTACGTCGTAAGTGTACTAGTCTTATTTCTTCCCCAAATTTTCCACAATGAAATTAATCAATTAGCTGGACTACTTAGGATTCATGAACTATGGGGAAAATGAAAGAAGGGAATATACTGAAAAGAAAAGAATCATGACTTTGAAATTTTCAAAGTAGCACATGTTTTTGAGCTTAAGGTTCATACCACTTGCATGAAATATCCTACCATAACATTCCAACACACATCAGAAATTCAAATTTTATACAGTAGTTAGACTTTTCCTTTTTCTTTTTTAGAATGTTATTATCATAGTTTTTTTATTATTAAATTTTGAGTTCAATTTTGATGCATTATAAACTATTATTAATTATGTGATTAATTAGTGTAAAAATCAAACAAACTTATTATATATATATAACAAAATTTGTTATTAACGACAATAATTTAATTGTTGCTATATATAAAAATATTAATGGCTAATATATAATAGTCACTAAAAATGTATTTATATTACACTAAAGTTTATTATTAGCGACAATTATTTATTAGAAAAAACTTAAGTCCCACATCGATTAGAAATAAGATAATTAAATAATATATAAGTGAGTAATAACTATCACCTTACAGGTTCATTTTATAGGGTTGACTTCTAATTCACTATTCTAAATTGATATCAAATTACCCATTATTACCAAATTCAATAGTGTTATAAAACAATTAGAAAACAACTTTCACCTTATAAATCTCACATTTTTTAAGAGACAAGATAATTAAAAAAATAAATTAAAAAATATATAAATAAAAGACAACCCTCATCTTACAAATCTAGATAAAAAAAAGTATATAAGTGATAAATTTAGAAAAAGAAATTATAAAAAGAAATTATTTAAAGTAAAAGAAACAATTAAAAAAATTAATTTTGGTGTACTATACAATAACTTGTGATCACATGAAAAGTGTTAAAACCCTCTATAACAGTGAAGGAATATACTGTTTATCCTTGGCCGTAACTAATACATCAAACTAAGCCCCCATGTTTTGGAAGACATAACTTTTCTTACTACTACTTTTCCTATTCATGACATTCAAACCGAAATCAAGTACTTATTTATTGCATGTATTACTCTCTCTATCCCACAATAAGTACATTTTAAAGTTAATTTATGTACATAAGGAATAAAATAAATACTTTTTTATACAATTTCATTAAAATAATTTACTTTATTAATAGATATATTATTTTTAATTATGGTGATTAAATAATTTATGAAGAGACAAATTTAGAAAAATTCAATTAATATGTTATATTGAATAGTAAAAACATCATTATTCTTTTCTTTTTTTTTCTTCTAAATATACTCTAAATGTTAAAACTACGATTAAATTGTGACACAAAGGGAATATAAACAACCCAAAACTGAGAAATGATATAATTGCATTGCTTAGCATTTGATTCCATGTCGGTTGCATGTAGTTAATTAAATTTTTTTCATCCATGTTTTTTCTTAACAAACTCGTAAAATCCAACAACATCAACAAAGTCTCATCTAAGTGAAGTAGGCTACTTGGATCATTGATCTCAATTGAAGATAATATAAGGGTTTAAATATAATTTTTAACCCTAATAAAATGATTGAATTTTGATTTTGCACTCTATAAATTTTTAATTTATTTTTTATTAATTCTTCTAAAATTTATAAACTTTGTTTTTGTCCTTAAGAAATGAATAAATTTTGGTTGCGATCCTTGTAAAATATTTTTCTTTGATTTTTATATCTCTAAAATCTAAAGTTATTATTTTTGTGCCTAACGATCATATTAAAGTAGATAAATAACACTAATTTTAAGGTCCTATAAAACTTTTTAAAAGTGTCAGGCACTAATATAATATCGATAGCAGTTGTGGATAATATCTATGATAGTCACTTAACTTTTTAATAAGTAAAAGTAGTTAAAAATAGTCACATAAAATATAGGGACTAATAAAAACAATGAGTCCAATTTTAGTGGGTTGAAAAACAAAGAAATATTTTTTAATGGAAACAAAATCAAAACTTGCTAATTTTGTACTCCCCTAAACCTATATATAAGAAAAAGATACTTAAACATTTTGGACTTAAATATATATAAATTCCAACTAAGTCAATTTTATTTAATATTTTTAATTCAAAAATATCTCTTAGACAATAAATAAGAACATTATTTATAATAAATATAATTAAGAATATTTTAATAAAATAATATATATTTTATATGAAATTGTGAAAACTAAATGTATTTAAGTTAATATGTTGCTTATATATAAGTCTAGATGGAGTAGAAAATAAAACATATTTAAGTTTAAAATAAAATTCTAAGATCCTAAAAAAGAGACAATTATATATATAGAGAGAGAAAGATCCGTTTATTCTAGAAGTAAGTTTATCTAGACTTATTTTATTTAATAATTCATATTTTACATTAAATTTTAACAATTCTACAATTGAACTTAAAGTTTTTAATGTATATATCAATCCTGTAAATTTTTAAAAAATTTAAAGAACATTTGATATTTCATTTCATTAATTCAAATTAATGTATAAAATGATTTTATGATTGCCCGTCAATTTGAATTAATGAAACGAAGTATCAAATGGTTTTCAAATTTCTTATAAATTTGCATGTTTAATCTATGGATTAAGAATTTTAAATTAAACAGTTGAATCGATAAAATTTGATATAAAACATGAATTATTAAATGGAATAAGTTTATATAAATTTATTCTTGAAATAAACAGATTCCTCCTTTTATATATATATATATATATATATATATATATAGCATTATATTTCTCAGTTTATGCAAGTTAAAATGTGTTATATATTTTTCAGGTTTATATATATATATATATTAAAAAAAGACATTTGAAATTAATTAATGCAGACTATTCATACATTGATGTTTCCAAAAACCTTATCAATTGCTTGGAAACTTTTGCTAGAATCTTGGGGTTGACCCGTTAAAACTAAAACAAATATTCCTAATGAACAATATATGATCAAGTAGATTATACTAATATGAAGATTGACTTCAACCCAAAGAGAAAGCACACGTTCTTGGTTTGAAAAGTGTTCTTTAAACGATACACGGTATTTGTATTTATATAATGGCATGCGTGCCTACACACTAACAATATTCTGTTATCGTAAAAATGTACAAGTTCGTTTTTCTGCTTTGCTTTTTCAACATGCATATGCTTATACTTGTTAACACTGCAGCTAATGAGAGTTCTGATGCTAAGGGCATAATAGGAGCTATTATAGATAGCAGTTCTCGCATAGGCCAAGAGCATGCAGTGGCTATGAATCTGGCATTGGAAGACTTTAATCACAAAAACAATCTGACTTTTGATCTGCATATAAGAAACTCTCAAGGAGATCCTCTTTTGGCAGCTATTGCAGGTCTATCTTTCATCCTTTGTCTTTCCTACTGCTTTAAATAATTCATATATAATTTTCTATGTGCATATTATTTCCAGATGTCTCTTTAAGGTCTTTACCATATACAATGATATGACCTTTCAAAATCATGTAAACTGTTGGGTTTATTGTAAAATTAAACCTGTTATATCGTTTGATAAGCGTTAATTAATTTTTAGTATGATTGTGCTTTTTATAAAGAGGATAAGGTGGAAACTTATTAATCCAACCTCCTCCTATGTTGCCTTCTTCTTTCTCCCCATCAAATGGTTTTTTCCCATAACTACTAAAGTTTCAGGTTTTGTCTTTGGTTACTTTGTGCCACAAGGAAACTTTCAATGTTTTTTTTCTTTCTCAAAAATCTTCTTTATTTTATAGTTTGCAAAGCATTCAAAAGTTCTGCAACTGATATTTTTTTTAAAATTCTTATTTTTTCTTAACAATGGATTTTAGATCCAAACTTCTTTAAAAGACACATCAAGATTTTCTCTTTAATTCTTTAATTACTAAGCACCTCACCATGCAATTTGATTTAAATAACCACCTTTAAAAGTCTTTTAGTAAAATCTTTCACAAATTGACTTTCTTTCCTTTTTAATACTTCAAACTCTCTTCTCAAGTTTAACACTTGCATTCTTTTTGTTCTTTCACTCTCTTGAAATTTATAAAAATATAGGTATATCTTTGTATTTCTATTATTCATCTTTACAACTAGGGTTACATCAAATATATATAAATTATGAAGGCATAACCCTGCACCTCAACCCAATTAGTTTGTAGCCCAATAAATAGAAGAACTAAGCTTATAAAAAAAAATATGCAATTTAGTGACCACTAAAATCGGTCGCTAAATTGCTAAAATCGGTCGCTATTTACCTTAGCGACCGAATTAACGACCGAATTTAATCAATTGCTAAAACCCTGGTCGCTAAGCTATTTAGTGATGGAAAAATTTTCAGTCGCTAGTTCGGTCGCAAAATGGTTGCAATGATTTTAGTCGTTAAAGTGTATGGGACCAAATTAGTGACCGAATAAATCGGTCGCTAAATATTTATTTTTTATTTTATTAAATTTTATAGACGACGCAAATTTGGTCGTTACGAACCACTCATATTTGGCCTCTTAAGGATTTTATTTCACAATACTTAACTTTTTAACATGTTTTGTCCATAATTACACAATTTTTAGAAGCTTCTCAGAAGGTCACTCATCCCTATATTACTCCAAGTCAATCACGCTTAACTATGAAGTTCTTATGAGATAAGCTACCGAAAAACAGATGCATGTTGTTAGTATAAGTAGTACAAATTAATTCATTTAAGTCATCCTCAACTATCCAATCTCATACTTATATTATCTTTGGATCCTTATCATTTTGGTGTATCCGGACCTTTATAAATATATAATAATTATATTATGAATAATAATTATTATATTATATTTAATTAATATTTATTTATATATATACTTACTTTTATAAATAACAATCTACTTATTTCTATTTAAATTTTATGATAAAATTTAAATTATTTATTATAAATTTAAAAATTTAAGTAATAATTTATATATTTTAAAATGAGAAGGGTTATAATAACACTGGTATAACTTTTACTAAGTATTACACCGCTCAATAACTTTATATTAAATGTGAATTTTGTAAATCCAACCGTTAGATTGAAAGTTCATATCACTTTATATGTTTATATCAATTTTTGTTAAAATTGAACAACAACTTAAAAGTAATCAAAGTGCTCATATTTTATTTGAAATGTATATATTACATCATTTTTGTTTTACAAGAATGAAGTATCAAATCATCTTAAATTCATATAAGATTTTGTATATATGATTTAAGAGTAAAAAACTTTCAATCTAACGGTTGAATTTATAAAATTCACATTTAATATAAAGTTATTGAGAAATGTAATACTTAGTAAAAGTTACACCGATGTTATTATAACCCTTCTCTTTTAAAATATTATTTTTAAAAATTAAATTTTAACATTTTAAATAAATTATTAATTAACTTAATATATTTATTCATCTTAAATCTAAGATATAAAATTCAAAAAATGTATTTATCCTTGTTTTATTTTCTAATTATCAACCATTAATAAAATACTAATTTAAAATCTTATCTAGTTATATCATAATATTTTCATATCAAGTTTAAAATAAGATATTAGTTATACAAAAATATTAAAATCATATAGTAAATTATTAATAAGATTCTAGTTAAATAATTTAAAATAATTTAAAATAATCAATTTTATCACACAACAATAAAGAAATACTAATAGTTAAGAAAATACATCTATACTCTTCCTATTAGAAAAAGAAAGAATGTTATAATTCTTCTTTTCCTTAAGATATCACATCTCTTCTATCAATAAAATTTAAATATAAAAATTTATTTAAAAATAAAGTTTTCATAAGTTAGAAATATATATTAATTATAAATATGGATCAAAATAAATAAATAATTTTAAAAAATTCATATACTCTAATTAAAAAACTGCCTAAAAATCTAATTGTAAAAAAAAATCTCTAAATATTTTTTCACATAAATAACTATTGGTATTAATTATGTAGGAGTGCATATAAATATTTTTTTATTATAAATTAATTTCTTGCTCTTATAAAAAAAGAAAATGGGATTGATACTCAACAACAATATTATCATCATCACTTTTAAGCAATTTATAATTTTTTTTAAGTTTTATATAGTGACTGAATAGAATTTTGTTGATAATTTTAACTAATATTTAGCTACCGAATAGAATTACATAGCTAATTGTAACTAATATTTAGCGATCGAATTTAATTCCGTCGTTAGAAAATTAAAATTTCTTATTTAGCGACTGAATTCAATTCCATTGCTAATTTTAACTAATATTTAGCGACCGAATTCAATTTTGTCGCTAAAAAAGTCAATTTTTTTGATTTAGCGAATTTTAACTAATATTTAGCCACCGAATTCAATTTCGTCGCTAAAAAATCAAAATTTCTAATTTAGCGACCAAATTCAATTTCGTCGTTAATTTTAACTAATATTTAGCGACCAAATTTAATTTTGTCGCTAATTTTAACTAATATTTAGCGACCGAATTTAATTCCGTCGTAAAAAAATCAAAATTTCTACTTTAGCGATCGAATTTAATTCGGTGGCTAAATATTAGTTATATTTAGCGACGGAATTGAATTCGGTCGCTAAATTTAATTATTATTTAGCGACCGAATTCAATTCTGTCGCTAAAAAAATCAATATTAATTTCTAATTTAGCGACCGAATTTAATTTCGTCGCTAAAAAGTTCAATATTTCTTATTTAGCGACCAAAATAGAGATCATTTTCTAGCAACGACTTATTTTGGTCGCAAAATCAGTCGCAAAATCGCGACTGATAAATTTCGGTCGCTATTTTGCAATTTTCTAGTAGTTTAATCTACTCTACTCCAACATTTGTCTACCCATTATGAATATGATTCATACACAACCATGCACAACAAATTTTTATTACCCCCTTAAGTTAAGGCATGAAAGTTTTGAATGTCCAACTTGTCAAGGAAATAATAAAATTTAGGTTTGCCTAGTAGTTTTGTAAAAATATCTATTAGTTGTGTGAGTAGAAACATAGGACATATGTATGTTGTCTTTCAATACTTCATCTATAACATGACAATTAATTTCAATGTGTTTGGTTCGCTAGTAAAAAAATGGATTCTTGGTTATATGCAATGCTACTTAACTATCACAATAAAGTTGAATTGGTGTAGAGTGTGTCACACCTAGATTGAACAAAATCTCGTTCAACCACTTCAATTCACAAATGGTTTCCGTCATAGATCTATATTCTATTTCTTCAAGTGATCGTGACATTATATGTTGCTTTTGAGTCTTCCAAGAAATTGGAGAACCACTTATAATATCACAAACCACCCCAATGATAGACCTTCTAGTCAAAAGGCAACTTGCACCGTCAAAATCACACCACTCGTACAATCGCAAATCACAATCATGACGCAACATAATACCTTGTCCTAGACTACCTTTTAAATAACCAACCATCTTTAGTGCAACGAGGGCTGACCTTGAGTTTTTTGGTGTCTTAGACAAACAGAAAAAAGGGTTCCCTCATACAATTATCTATGTATTGTTCTTATTTTTTTTCTCTACAAAATCATCAATAATCCTTTCCTAATAGTCAAGATTCTTTAAAAAATTATCTTCAATAAAAATTAAAACACTATTTAATCTACCTTGTGAATGGTTGACTGCAAGTAAAATTTTAACAATTTCAATTTTGAAATACTTTTTTTAGCAGATGCAACAATAGCAAGAATAGTTAAGATTATTCTATAAGCTATACATGCATTAGGAAAACAATTAAATGTCTTCAAAACACTCAATATCATAAAGCTTGATTTTGATTTAAATTTTAAAACTTTTCTATTGAATTTTAATTCATCAAATAAAATTCCATCATCAAGATCATAAGAATTATCATGTTTTAGATAAGTTTCAATGTTTGAAACATAATTTCAAGTCCTTATAAGATAATAATATAAGTTTTTCAATACTATACAAAAATTCTATATTTGTTTCAATTTGTTTCTCTTTTCCATTTTCTAAAAAACATGTTCAAACTCAAACAATTATACAAGTATAGACAAAAATTAAATTATAATATATTATGGAGAAAAGTTAGACTCTAGAAGGGAGGTTGAATAGTATCGATAAGAAACTAAACACTTTTTGAAACAACAAAATAGTAATGTGACTATAAGAGTGAAAACGAATGGATAAGAAAGAATAACACAAGGTGTTTTTATAAAGGTTCATCTCAACCACTGAGACTACATCTAGTTCTTGGTCAACCCGATCAAGTTCAACTATCTTTTACAAATATACAAGTATTCTTTCATAAGTTACTTCTGGTTCAACCTAAGTATTCTTTAACTTGCCTCTTCAAGCAACTACCCAAGTGTTCTTTGAACACAAGGCCTCTCCAAGCTTCAAACAATCAAATATTCTTTGAACACAAAGCCTTTCCAAACTTCAAACAATCAAGTATTCTTTGAACACAAAGTCTCTTAAGGCTTCAATCAACCAATTATTCTTTTATAATCAAGCCTCTCCAAGCTCAAAACAATAACACTAAGTTAAAAATGGGTAAGATTATTGTGTTGTTTCATCTTACTATCAAGATGTGATATAACCAAATAAGTACAAAGCTTATTAATAGAAAGAATAGATTTTTACAAAATGTTCTCTATGTTGTATTCTCCTTTTCTTTTGGAATCTTTAAGCTTCTTTATGTAATTGAATGAAGATGACCATTGCAAATCATTGAGTGTCTCTCATAGGCTTGCTTTGTCTCTCTTCGTCATTTTTGTTCCTTGTGGGGAGAAGTGTTCATTGCTGTATTAATTGCTTGCATTAAATGTATTTCACCAAATTGTCACTTCTTATCTAATCATGGAAGCTACTTATCAACTTATAAGTACCAAAAAAGTAAAGCCATGTGTGTTTCAAGCCAAAACAACTTTTTTTGAGGAATTATGTGATTTAAAGGATCTGTTTATCCTTTTTTGACACAAAGTATGTCTTTTGTTCCTTTCGTTATTTATGAGTACCAAAGAAGCTTTTTCACTTTGATATGTTAAGGAATCATGAGAACAAAGACTAATTTTGTTATCAAACATCATAAATTGATATGGATTCAAAATAAATGTCTTATAGATGAAGTACTTCATCTGTAAGACTCAATGTCAAGACAACTAATCGTCTTATAGATCATCTTATACCATTTCGTCTTAATGATTGATTTTGAAAACTTTTCTCTAGAAAAATGTAAATGTTTGTTTAACGAAAATTTGTCTATTAGAGAAAAATGCACATTTGTATCAAATAAATGTTTTTATCAGATTTATCAATATTAGAACATAAAGTTTCCCATGTCATGCTTAGGCTTTCCTATCAAAGCATACAAATAACAAAGCACACACACACACATATGTATATATATCATGCATAAGAGTTATACTATAATATCATAATCAGAGCATATCATTTTATATCAGAGCATACAATCAAAGAATTTTCTTCACATGTATTAGAGATTTTCCGAGTCATAGAAATCTACTCGTGTATATTAAAGAATTTATGCATGTTCATAAGAGAATTAGTCATGTTTATCAGAGCATATAATCTATTAGAGAATATGGGTATGGATATATAACATGCATCTATACTAAAATGAAATTTTAAGTAAACTGAAATATTTTAGCTCTCCCTAAGATGGAGCAACTTGTTCAAATACTACGTATATAAGAAAACTTTAAAAAAATAGTATTGTACTCCCCCTTTTTGTACCAATAAAAACTAGGCCTAGCCAGCTAAAGTCCTCATCCAAGCTAAGATCAATATTCAGTCATGCAAAAAGCTTTTGGTGGCAGTGTTCAATTTGTCATTGCCTTTGGATGGTGGCTAGGAGTGTTGTACTTAGAAAACCCACTAAATGTGTCAAGATTATGACTTGATCAAGTTGTTATGATTTAGGTGTAGTTGGAGAAAGAAGAAAGGGATAATGGAATGTTTGATGTGGTTGCTAAAGAGCATTGTTGTCAAAGGGCAAAGTGGTAGGAGGAGGTGGAGTCTGTTGGTAGTAGTTTCCCATGGCATATAGAGAATAATCCTTATTTGTGTTAGAACCACCAGACTGATGGCACTTACCAATCCTTATCTTCTTGACATCCTTAAGATAGTTGGCTTTCTTGTCTTTACCTTTGTAGACAGAATGATGCACAACCTTGTCCTACACTCACTAGGAAGAATTTGTTCCAAGGTTGATCATGCATGATCTTCTTAATCTACCAATCATTAGAGGAAGATTATGAGGAGTTCCCTCATAAATTAACTCCATAGCAACCTCGAAATGACATTTGTCTTCAAGCTCATGGCGCTACTGATTGATAAGCCTCAATGTCATTATGTGTCATGAATAGCCACTATCCAGGTACCAATGTGAATTCTTCCTTTTTCCATGAAAGATATATGCAACAAGAATTATTTGAGACTTTGGTAGCCAAATCATTTTGGGTCTTTTTCTACTAGTACCCTTGACCTTAGACTTGCTTCTCTATTTATTTTTGCATCTATTATGGGATTGATTAGTTTTTCCACAAATGTTACAAAGAATAGTCTTAGGTCCGAAATATGGTGTCCTAGACTCTTCTTCAACTCCTTCACGAACAATGCTTGTGTCAAAGATCTCCCCAATCATAGATATTTCTTAGAAAAATAAAATTTTGTTTCAAAAAAATTAACATCTCATGACACAAAATATTCCTTTGATTCGAGATCATATAATTTTCAACCCTTCTTACAGTAAGGATACTCAACAAAAATAACTTACAAATCTTGTTGGCAAATTTGTCTCTTTTCTTGCCTTGATTGTTTGTATAACACAATGAGCCAAACACCTTCAAGTGATCATATAACGACATTTTTCCATAATGGATTTCATATGGAGTTTTCCATTCAAAATTAAGGATGAAATTTTATTAATTAAGTATGCATTGGTTAACCCACACTCACCCAAAAATCGATGGGAAGATTCCCTTGGAAGCATTCTACTCGTGCCACATTCAAGATATGTCAGTGTTTCCTCTTACTCTTCCATTTTGTTATGGTGCCCTTATATAGGAAGTTTGGGAAAAAAAATGCCATGTTCAAGAAAAGAATTTTCCATACACACAAATTTCGTCCCATTATCACTTCAAATAATTTTGACTTGTTTATTATACTTTCATAGCACAAAAATTTATCAATGTATGCGACACTTTTTTCTTGTCAACTAACAAAAATGTCCAAACAACATGAAAATAATCATCTACTATTGTAAAAAAAAAAATGAAGCACCACAAGAAGAGGGAGTTTTATACAGTCCCACAAATCATGATGAATTAATTCAAAAACCTGAGAAGCTTTATGATAACTCAAAGAAATTTTGTCTCTAGTCTATTTTGCTCGTTGAGATACATCACATACTTTAGTTAACAACTTACTACTATTATCACAACCAATATTAGAAACCAATTGAGTAGTTTTCAATGAGGAGTGTCCCAAATGTCTATGCTAGAGATTAAGTTGGCTTATTGCATTAGTCTTGAAAGCCTTCAGTATTCTTGGAACCCCTTGAAAAAAATAAAGTTCATTCCTTCGTTCACTTATTCCAATCAACATCCTCATAGTGCGGTCCTGTATGATGCAAAAATTATTAGTGAATTGCACAATATTGTTTGATTCATCAATTAATTGCGACACAAACACTAAATTTATTGCAATTTAAAGCATTTTTCAAGTTTAAAACCCATCAAGGTTTATTGATCCTTTTTAAACTTCCTGTCATATGATTTGATGCCCCTGTATCAATGATCCATACAATGATGTTGCTTTCACTTGTCATCTTCTCATTACAACTTCTTTATTGACCTTTCAACAAATCTATTAGCATCTACCATTGTTCAATAGTTAATCCAGCCAAATTGGAATTACCTTCTCTTGAGTGGATCATCTTAGAGCCTACTCCGCCATTCTAGATAGTCATTCTCAAAGCCTTAACCTATCTCTGACACCATATACAAATATCTGTATGTGGTTGTGTTTCTAATATTCATCTTTATAAGAGGGCATAGCCCTACACTCCAACCCAATTAGTTTTTAACTCAACAAATAGACGACGTAAGTTCAATATGCTCTATTTCAACATTTGCCTGCCAATTGAACATGAGCCATGCACACCTATGCACAACAACTTTCTGCTAAAACTCCTTCTCTAACTTAACTCATGCTTGTTTTGTAGTCTCAAGAGTCACAATCTTAATAAATACACCATCATATAGTGCTACTTGTTTAACGACAAGTGTTTTGCCTTCCTTTATCATTTCATCATTGTGACTCCTCATTTAAGCTATTGTTGGATTTTCTAGTAATAGAGGTGGATTACTTCTCACAAACTTTGAGCTCTGAGATAAGTCCTTATTTTCGTAGCCCACAAGTGATAGTTTTCAAAAATGAATATAGGAGACGGAGGTAAAGAACTACTGTTGGAAGTCATTTTTGTGTCAATTTTCTTACTGGTTTTCTCTCCCTCAAAAACTCTATTTTTACCCGTCCCCCATAAACCCTTAAAGATCAATTAAGCTCTTGATACCATGTTAGAAAAAAGTAAGTCATAAAAAACAAGGTGTAAGAATGAATAGAAAATAGCTATCAAATTAAGATACTGGTCAAACTATACTTTAGCTTGAGTAGACTATACAACAAACCAAACAGACAAAGAGACAAACCAAACAGATGAAGGGATAAAATGAATAGATGAAGCAAATACAATGAATAAACTTAGTTTTGCACACATTGAGAATAAGTTCTTAAATATTAAAACTAGATATTTGACCCCTGATTGAGTAAAGTAAAAAACAAATAATGACCAACTTAATAAACAAGCATCATTTGCCTACACAACTAGTTTTTTATGATATAAGAAACTTTAACAAAACTTATAAGCAAAATAAAAAGGTACAATGACTTTAAAATATTTTATTTTGAAAGTTACAAAAATCTCAACCACCAACTCTTACATATTGTAACTAACTACTAATGAGGGTTTCTTGACAAATTGTCTGGCAGCTAGAGATCTGATTGATAATCAAAAGGTACAAGCCATCATTGGACCACAAACATGGCAAGAGACATCTTTAGTGGCTGAAATCTGTAGCAAAAAAAGCATACCCCTCCTTTCTCTAGCAGATACTCCTGAATGGGCAATGAAGAAGTGGCGCATTCTGCTGCAATCCTCACCTAGCCAAATTATGCAGATGAAAGCTATAGCTGAAATTGTAAAATACTGGAAACTCTATAATGTTAGCATGATATATGAAGATGGAGACTCATCATCCACTGAAGTTTTATCTAAGCTCTCTGAAGCTCTTACAGAAGTTGACACAAAATTAAACAATGTTGTAGCAATCCCACCTCTAGTTTCTTTTTCTATGTCCCAGCAACTTGAGAAGCTAAGAGAAGGACAATGTAGAGTCTTTATAGTCCATTTGTCTTTTCCTTTGACACTAAAACTGTTTGAAACTGCAAAAAGAATGAATATGATGGGGGAAGGTAATGTATGGATTACTACTAGCACATTTACAAGCCTTGTTCATTCCTTGAATGCATCCACCATCTCCAATATGCAAGGGATTATTGGAGTAAAGAGTTATATCCCAAATCTATGGCACCAGTATGGGAACTTCTACCATAAATTTCGGAAAAAATTTAGCTCAGAGAATTTTGAAGAGTTTAGTTATGAGCCTGGGATCTTTGCAGCCCAGGCTTATGATGCTACATGGAATGTGGTTGATGCAATGAGGGAAACCAACCAAAAAGGGGGTCAATTTTTGCTAGATAAGATTTTGCTTAGTAATTTTACTGGCTTAAGTGGAAAAATTCAGTTCACTGAACATAAAATAGCACCAACACATACTTTTCAAATTATTAATGTGATTGGGAGGAGCTACAGGGAAATTGGGTTCTGGTCAGATGGACTTGGTTTCTCAAAATCTTTAGATCAAAATGCTTCTTACAGCCCTTCAGTGGAGGAATTAGGAAAAGTAGTTAATCCAACATGTTCCTTAAGACTAAGAATTGGTGTCCCCTCCACATCAACATTCAAACAGTATGTTGATGTTATTCAAGATCATTCTGAAAATGTTACTTCCTTCAAGTTCAAGGGATTTTCCATAGATCTTTTCGAGGAAACAGTAAAAAAATTGCCATACCATCTGGAATATGATTATTTTTCCTATAATGACACATATGATAAATTGGTGAAGCAAGTTTATTTAAAGGTAAGTTTTTGTTTATTACCCTTGTATGCTTTACCTCACTTATTGAAAATCATTGATAAGAAACTGTAAAGGAAAAACACTTTTAAATGATAGTCATGCCATGTTGCAACCATGTTAGATACACATCTATGTCAATTGTTATAAAAAAAAATTGTTCGATATTAATAATGAGATCGACATATTTGTCAAGTGAAATGTCACTTAACAAATCAGCCGATTTGTGACTATTTATCAACATCGAATTTTGGTTATATATTATCTCATAGTATATGCACACTTTGAACACTCTTGTTTCTTTCTGTAATTTCTTTTACTTTTATTTTTTAAACTTATACACTTATACAAATTAGAATACCATAATATTTAAATTAACTTTAATGTTTTATTATGCCTACAATAAGTTAATCATATAAATTATATTATAACTCTGCCATGTCCTATGATCATATCTTTGTTTCATTGGACCTTAATATACTGATAGAAAAATAACCTCGAGTGAGTTTATTTCCATAACAACTAATTTTAATACTTTATCTTTTACACCTTCATTCTCAAGATTATTTGATGCGAAACTATCTGGTCCTAGTCTAACATAGTAACATGCAGTATATGGTAGCCCCTAGAAACTCTTTTAGCCTAATAATACTTGATTTGCTCATCAGAATGATTTATGCTTGATGCAGAAATATGATTTAGTTGTTGGAGATGTAGCAATAGTATCCACGCGTTATGAATATGTTTCATTCACTCAGTCCTATACAGATCCCGGAGTGGTGATGATTGTTCCTGTTAAATCAAAGACAGGCAATAGAGCATGGTTATTCTTGAAGCCTTTCACAAAAGTCATGTGGATTCTCATATTGGTCATCATTGTCTACAATGGCTTTGTTGTATGGCTGATTGAAAGAAACCACCGCCCTGAACTGAAGGGCCCTATTCTGCATCAAACAACAACTATGTTGTGGTTGGCTTTCTATTCTCTGTTCTCATTGAATGGTAATTGCTAATATCTAAGGCTCTCAAGCTTTGATCTGGATTTGCAGCAGTTAGGAATTTCATGCATTCACATTTTGGATGAAGAGTTGAAGACTGAACATTTATATTTTATATTTGCAGCGGACCATGATGCCTCTAACTTTGTCATGATTTAGTTGATTTTACCTGACAAGAACTAACTATTTGGAAAGCTTACTTGTTAGTTGAAAAATAGTTTTAAGAGGTGTTGAGAAGTACTTTTAGGAAAATTCTTTACTCTTACCAAAATGAATTGTGAATTTTAAGTTCATTTTAACAAATTTGATGGAAAAACTGTACTAGTATTTTTATTAACTTATTTCAGTAAATTTAACACTCAAACTCGTGAACAAACTCTTAGAATATCATGTTTCCTTACACAAGTCATTTGGACATAAAGCTTCCAAAGAAAACAAGTCAGTACTATATTGTGTGGAAAAAATCAATTAAGTTTAGCATTGAGTGAAAAAAAATTCTCACAATTTGGTTCTTGTTACAAACTAACAAGTAACACTAACAACAATCTCAATTCTCAAGTAACATTACTTTGCTTAATCTGCTGACACAGGGGACAAGTTACATAGCAATTTATCAAGGGTGGCAACGGTGGTGTGGCTTTTTGTGGCTCTAATAATTACACAGATTTACACTGCTAACCTTGCCAGCATGTTGACTGTTGAAAGATTTGAACCAACCATAGACAGCATTCAGCAGCTAAAGAACAACAATGCCATGGTAGGATATGATAGAGGATCCTACTTAAAAAGATATCTCCAAGATGTATTGGGCATCAATGCTGAAAACATCAAGCAATTTGACTCACAAGAGAGCTATGCTGATGCCCTAAGAAACAAAGAAATAGCAGCTGCCTTCCTTGATATCCCTGAGGCCAAAATCTTCCTTGCAAAGAACTGTAAAGGGTTTGTTCAAGCAGGGCCAACATACAAAATTGGAGGATATGGATTTGTATTGCTTCAACATTTCTTTCACTTTTTTCCTGTTTTAGTTTCAGAGTAATTTTATTGCTATATGCACAACCAATCAAAATATTGAAAGAGCATTGAAATAATTTCGGCAAGGACATCAACACAAACTTGATTATTATTTTAGGACAAAATATAGATGCAATTCTTTAGGTATTTTGCATACTATTCTTTGGTCAGAGTTGAAATTTTATTTTGTGTTTATATTAAAGATCAGTCGAAACTTCAAATTCTAACTGAAGAATAATACCAAAAACATAAACCTATAGATATTGTATCATGCAATAACTGGAATGTCTTTGCAGGTATTTCCAAAGGGATCTCCATTGCTTCATGGTGTAAACCAAGCCCTACTAGACATATCAGAAATTGGCACACTACGTAATCTAGAAAACAATATGCTTGCATCAGAGGAATGTAAAGACATAATTGAGCCAGGTGAAGACACAACTAGCCTTAGCCCTACAAGCTTCATGGTTCTCTTCATCCTAACTGGAGGCACTTCAACAACTGCTCTCTTAATTTACATATTTCCTATGAATTATTTATGCCCTGGACAGAGAGCAACGTGGAGTCTAATGATGGCTGTGATCAAAAGTTGGAGATTCCAAAAGGCACTGTTTCCAAGAAGAGTCCACAATGTTGCAGAAAGTTCTTCCAACATTTCTAATTTGCCAGATTTAGCTTAAACAAGAAGGTTATGTAGTATTGTGGCACAAGGATTAGGAGGTTTAATTAAACAGTGAAGTCAACACTCCTTTAACTACATAACTTTCTCATTAATGCATTGTAAATATTGTGACCTTTACTGTGTTGTCCCATGTAGAAATGGCACATTACTAAAACTATTATGATAGTGACATTCACGTTTGCGGGAACAAATTAAAGTTCTTGGATGTGTCCACACCTTAGCAGAAAGGCATGGAGCGTGGCAGATCTGGGAAAGAAACGATTTACACATAACAATGTTAACCAACTGGCGTAATAATTCTAGTGTGTTGAATTGAGTTATAATTAAAAAGCTTTCGACTCTCCGAAAGCTTTAATTCGAAAGGCATCTTTTTTTAAAAAGAGATGATTAAGAAGGTCTCCAAATGAATTTGAATTAATAAAATCAAAGAAACATGACCCAACTCAAATAATTATTATTAAACATTTAATCATATGTAAGAGAAAAAGGCTTAAAGAAATTTGCACAAATAATATATTCTCCATCAGTTCAACTTATTTATGTTCAGACTTCAAGTTTTGTTTGAGATTTCCCCATTAATTCATCCCAATATATTTAATTGGACAGATTATCTTGAGCAAGAAAATTTTTATGATCTTCTCTTTAACGATAATGTATTTAGGGTGCTTTTATTTAATACGAGAGTTTTTAAGGATTCTTTTTGTAACACTTCATTTTTTTTATATAATATAATATAAGTACTTTATTAATAATTTTGGTATTTTTATTAATAGGAACTATTTAATATTTATTTAATTGTTTGGTATGTTTTGATATATAATATAATGTATTTTATTAATAGGTTATAATATTTTATTAAAAGAGAAGGAATTTGTAATTATAGTTAATTATCTTAACTATGAGGTTAAAAGGGGGGTTTAAGGATTTAAAAAGAAGGATTTATGATATGTCTTTATGTTCCCTTATTTTTTCACGTTCATGTAACGCCCCCGTTTTCAAACTTTTATTGGGGGTAATATTGTAATTTTCAAGGGTGATTTAGTAGTCCATAATGGGTCGTTCCTAAATTGGAACGGGTCGTTCCAAATTACTAAAACAAGGGTAATTTGGTAGTCCAGAACGGGTTGTTCTCAAACTGGAACGGGCCGTTCCAAACTACTAAAAAGGCCTATAACCCTAGTTGGGAACGGGTCATTCCAAATATGGACATTATGGGTTAAATGCAACCCTAGAACGGGCCGTTCTAGTTTGAGAACGCGCCGTTCTGGTTGTGAATTTTACACATGCCGTCAAAGTCCAAAACGGGCCGTTCCGGATTTGAAACGGGTTGTTCCGACGATGCCTGATGCCTATAAATAGAGTGTTCTGACACTCCCAAAAAGAACACCTTTCATTTCTGACTCTTTCTTCTTTTCTTTCTTCTCTTCTTCTGCACTCTATGAAGACCGAGGGGAACCCAGCGGAGGAGATCAACCAGATCCTTAGTTTCAGCTACTATTTATCCAGGTACGGGGGAAAAGGGGATTATTTGTATACAAAGTTAAATGAGGGAATTGGGTAGAAGAGGAAGCTCGTAGGATTATGAGTAATTTTATAATTATTTCTGTTTGGAGAATTATTGGTCTTATGTGATTCTGTATGATTTTAGGATTATGAATATCTATTTAATTTGTAAGAATGATGATTTGGGAGAGAGAACGAAATTATAGAAAAGTGCCTGTAAGTTAGGTTGTGGAAAATTGGATTATTTCTGTTTGAGGAATTGATGATCCCATTAGATTCTGTATGTGTTGAGGATTAAAAATATATATTTAATTTTTGAAAATGATGATTTGGGAGAGAGAAAGAAATTATAGAAAAGTGTCTGTGAGTTAGGTTTTGGAAAATTGGGAGTTTTACTATTTGATTTAATATTGTATCAAATTGGTGATTCGGTTGAGTATTATATTAATTTGTAAATGTTATTGTTATATTATATGATAAAAAAATTGATGATCTAGATGTGAATTGCTTAAGAGGTATGTGAACCACTATTTTGTTGGACTTATCCGTTGTGTGTATGTGATATGTTATTGAGCTATAAGATGAGATGTGATGAATGTGAATATGATTATGATTGTGGTTCAACACATCAATGACCAGGGATGGCACGGTCCCTGGGTAAGTGATGCTACAAGGAGGGCGTGACCCTGGCATGGTGTGGGATGAGTGAGATAATTAACATGAATCACTTATGTCAGATGTGGGGTAGCCTTGGCATAGGGTTAATTGCAAGAATTGTGTGGATTGTGGTTCCTCACATCAATGACCAGGGATGGCACGACCCCTAGGTAAGTGATGCTACAGGGAGGGCATGACCCTGGCATGGTGTGGGATGAGTGAGGCAATTAACCAGTATCACTTATGTCAGTTGTGGCGTGGCCTTGGCATAGTGTTAATTGTAAGATTTTTGTGAATTATGAATGTGAAAATGATAATGTTAATTGAAAGATTTGAGATGAATGAGTGTGATTGCGAATTATGATGTGAAGATGATGCATGATTGATAGAGTTATGATATATAGAAATGCTTGTAAATATTTCATTATGTAATGAGATTACATTGTTGTGTGTTTGTATGTGCTTTACATATAGATGTTTTCTTTTCTCACCGTATAATTTATGGATATTTTAGGTGAGGAAGATCTAGCTCTGAGTGGCATCTAGAATGTCAACAATTGAATTGTGGGTGTGCTCTGATATTGTGACATCAGGGCAGAGAATTCTAGGACATAATTTTTTTTATATAGATTTGGAGTTGTATTTATTATTTTGAAAACAACTTGTAAACTCTTATGTTTTATTTTCTAATTTATTTATTTTCAATCATTTTGGATATTGAAGAACATTTGTGAAGGTTTTTATGTGAACCCTTTTACCAAAGTTGAGAAATTTATTCGTTAGTTTTATTATTACAATATATGTGTTGGGAGTAGTAAGGGTGTCACATTTAGTGGTATTAGAGCAGGTCGATTCAATCGGTCATTAGTTATGAGTCTGCTATGCTTGTTTGGTAGATGAATGATGGAATGAATTAATTGTGGAAATTATTGATATGCTAGTGTGATGATTGATTAAAATTGTTATTTATTTAATTATAGTATAATTGTTAACTTTTCTGGAGATCAGAAAAGTAATGGCAGGAGGTAGGAATGATCGTGCAATCGCTGATGCTCTACAAGCGATGGCTCAGGCTCTTGGTACTTTGAACCAACGACCAGAGGTGGATTGGCTGGAGAGATTCCAGCGAAATAATCCACCAAGCTTTTGTGGGGGATATAATCTTGATGGAGCTGCTGACTGGATTTTTGTAGTTGGAAAGATATTCCAAGCTATGGGATGTCCTTTGGTGCAAAAGGTGACTTTGGCTGCCTTCATGCTTTTTGGAGAGGCTGGGGTCTGGTGGCAAGGTGCTTTGCAAAGAATGATGGCTGCATGTACCCAAGTGAACTGGGAGAATTTCAAGCGGCTATTCTTGGAGAAATACTTTCCATGAGATGTTAGACATAGGAAATAGGTGGAATTCCTTGAGTTGAAGCAAGGAGAGAATTCCTTGACTTTCCACACAACAACTGCTTCAAATGTGGGAAGCCAGGTCATAGGGCAGTTGAGTGTCTGAGGCAAAGAGTAATAACATGCTTCAAATGTCAAGAGAAGGGACACAAAGCTAGTGAATGCCCCCAAAATAGGAAAGAAACAACAAAGGTTGGAGGGAGTGCTAGCAAACCTAGGCCGACAGGAAGGGTGCTTGCCTTGAGTGGTGCTGAAGCTACTCAATCCGAAGACTTAATCTAGGGTATGTGTTTCATCAATGGAACTCCTCTAATGTTTTTGTATGACTCTGGTGTGACTCACTCTTTCATATCACATGCGTGTGTTTCTAAGTTAAAATTATCTGTTTCTTCCTTGTCTTTTGAATTAATAGTAGGGACACCAACTAGTGGTTTAGTTTCTACTTCTGATGTCTGTTTAAATTGTCCTTTGAGTATTGATGGTAGAAATTTCATGGTTGGCTTAATTTGTTTGCCTCTAAGTCAGCTAGATATTATTTTGGGTATGGACTGGTTATCTTTCAATTTGAATTGTGCTGATAAATCTATTATTTTTGGCGAGCCTGTTGAAAAAGTGATTATGGACTATTTGACTGCCAACCAAGTTAAGGTATCTTTACAAGAGGATACCCAAGTGTACATGTTGTTAGCTTCTTTGAATTCTGAGAGTAATATTTTGGTGAATGAACTGCCTGTTGTGTGTGACTTTTCGGATGTCTTCTCTAATGATATGTCTAGCTTACCACCTACAAGAGAAGTAGAGTTTTCCATAGACTTAGTACCAGGAACAGGACCTATTTCTGTCACCCGTAGAGTTAGTGGAGCTTAAGAAACAAATAGAAGACTTGTTGGAGAAGGGGTTTGTGAGGCCTAGTGTATCACCTTGGGGAGCACCTGTACTCTTAGTTAAGAAGAAGGATGGTAGCATGAGATTGTGTGTAGATTACCGCTAATTAAATAAGGTAACCATTAAGAATAAGTATCCATTGCCTAGGATAGATGATCTTATGGACTAGTTGGTGGGTGCCTGTGTATTTAGTAAAATTGATCTTAGATCGGGGTACCACCAGATTAGAGTTAAGGGTGAGGATGTACCTAAGACAGCATTTAGGACTCGATATAGACATTATGAGTATCTAGTAATGCCTTTTGGTGTGACGAATGCTCCAACAATTTTTATGGATTACATGAACCGAATTTTTCATCCGTACTTGGATAAATTTGTAGTTGTCTTCATAGACGACATACTAGTTTATTCCAAGGCTAGAGAGGAGCATAAGGAACACTTAAAGGTAGTACTTCAAACCCTCAGGGAGAGACAACTTTATGCCAAGTTGTCTAAGTGTGATTTTTGGCTAGAGGATGTGAGTTTCTTAGGACATGTGATTTCCAGTGAGGGTATAGCTGT